TTCAAAATCCTGTTGCAGGCCCCAGAATTTCCCTCTAACGGCGGAGGAGTTATGATCGCAGTACAGCGAACTCTGTGTAACTTGATGGCAGGAGAATGCAAGCTTGCATTCTCACGTTCATTCCACCTTTATTTTATTTTAAATGAAACAGTTCATTATTAATTTAGCATTCATTGTAGTAACTACTAATAAAATTTATATTCTTGAAATTTGTTTTTTAAAAAGTTCTTTTAAACTTAATCACATTTATTTTTAATATTGTTATGAGCGTGTGCATTTTATTAAAATTAATTTAATTTGGGCCCCGTTTATTTCTTTGAGTCTGATTTTGTTGTTAAATTAATTTTCTTTGGGGGGGGGATGTTTATTTTCGCATATTATTTTTTGCATGAAGCAATTTCAGAACCAAACTCGTGTTTCTGTACACGTTTCTTTCTAGAGGTAAGTAATTTCAAATTTATTAAGAAAACCACTGTATAATGTGTGTTTAATAATATATTACAAAATGGCTATAATTATTTTAGGTGAATTGGAACAGAGATTCATTAAAACAGCTACTTTTGTTTATTAAGTAAGTAGATGAATGTCTCGACAGCTTTAATGGCAGCACAAAGTTCCCACCTACTAGAAAAGAAGTAAAATGTATGCTGAGTAACAAATCTCTGCACATGTAGTATGGGCAAAGGACTTTTGAAATGGTTAGAGATTGGCTATTTCTTACATACACCTACCTTTAATAGCCACTCAAGTGGCTATTAGAAGATTGTAGAGTCATTTAAACGAAAAAAAAAAAATTGAATCACAAAAGGGAAGAATTTTAAATCAGGATGCATTGGAAAATAAATTTCGGGACATCAGGTCGGTTTTGGATTTTAGTAGGATCTGCTATAACTTTATTAGAAGATTTCCTTGATAATAAATTGTAATATACCAATTGTTTCAAATGAAATTGAAAAAGAGTTAAATTCGAAATTAGATTTTTCATGGCTAAAATGATATGTTCATTCAAACATCGTAAGGTAATCTATAATTAAGGGAGTATAGAAAATAGGTATATTCTGGTAAGGGACAACGACAAAAAAATTACAAAAATGTATTCATCTTTAAATAGTGTTTGTTATTATTATTATTATTATTATTATTATTATTATTATTATTATTATTATTATTATTATTATTATTTGCTATGTTTGAAAAGTACTTCCTGTTGCACAACAGATCGAATAGATCAGACGACTAGTTGGAGAAGGTCCACCTAGTCACCAAATTAGGAGACTAGGAAAACTTTTACATGACTGGGGACACAACAGGAACGCACAATCACAAGATACACAAACAGACGACATAACAGGGGTAAGCCTTCAGCAACGTCCTGTTTAAATGATGATATTATGTCATCCTTCATTCCCTTTTAGAAGGCATGGCATATAAATAGTTGAAATAAACATTATATTTTTTGAATAAAAATACGGTTACAGACTCGTTTTTTTTTACAATTTGCTTTGTTGATATATTAAAAATGCTTTTTTCTATATATAAAAATTTGGACTCTGGTAGTCCCATTATGCACGACTCCATAAATATGCATGCTAAATTTCATAAAAAAATTTAAAAAAATATGCTTGGAGTCTTGGAATTACTTTTAAGTCAATTTTAGCACATAGATAACGCTCTTAAGTAGTTTTAAAATCTGACCGTCGATATAAATTCTTGATTTTTGTTAATTTTCCGGACCTTGTCCGAAAGTTGCAAATTTACCAGATTGTTAAAAAAAATAATATATACATTGGCAATCAATTTTCAAAAGTTTTGCATTTTTTTTGACAATATTAGAGGAAAATAAAAAATTTACAAAAAAATATTTCCGTGCAAAATAAAAGGTTGCAAATTGGAATAGCTGTTCCAAAAACTTGTATGAGTTATGTCATCGGTTTGTAGCACTTTTGTAAATTTTTGTCTATGATATAAGCGAAAACACTGTTTTAGCAAAAAAAAAATCATGTGGCGGACTTTCAAAAAGTTGCAAATCTAATATAATGTTGAAAATAATACAGTTTATATTGCTTCAAGTTTGCAACACTTTTGCAATTTTTTTAAGAAATTTATAATAAATTTTAATTTTTTGGAATTATTAATATGATCCGACCTCAGAAAAAGTTGCAAAATTAAATTACAATTATTTCAATTTAATAAATATTCCAACAAAGTTTGAAAACTTTTGTAAATAATGTGAATTAATTATCTCTAACGACTGGCCTATTAGATGGTTTGTAATAGAAATATATTTTTTCTTTGATGTTAATGCTGTGAATTTTTGATCTATATTTTATTATATTAATTAAAATTACTATTTAAATAAATTCATAATTTAGAAAAAGTAAATTCCTGAAAAACAACGATTTTTATTTTGAAATGATAGAAGTTTTCGAACTAAAAGTCAGTATCATGTGATACCTCCTTTGAATGGTAATTTTATGGATTATTTATTAGTATGACTGACCCCGATTCAAACGCAAGTAAGCTTGCGGGATCACAAATTGTTACGTAATCGAAAATCTGACATTTATATGAAAGATAATTTTATTTTTAAAGTAGGATATAACCGAGGATATAACGTTGTTCTAAACATCTCCAACTAATCAAGTTTTTCCGTATATATTCATAGAAGCATTTTTAAATAGTTACATATATGTAAATCCTTAAAAATAGAAACGTCAACGTCAATTCAGAGAAAAAGTAGTGTTGGACGATGGTGTGATTAGTAAAATTTCATTAGATGAGGTTGTTTCCTAAATTTATTAACAAATTAAATATTCTTTAATAGTTTAAGAAACCTAAATGTTATTTTTTCAAGATTTATCTATTTGATTTTGTTTAAAAACGTAATATTATAACTATAGAGCGGAATATATGCATCAAAATATAACAAAATATACGCATATACATGCATCGTTTTTACCAAAAATATGCAGTTATTTTGTCCAATTATGCCTAAATATGCAAATGCATATTTGTTAAAAATACTTAAAAAAAAGTAGGGGGTGGGTAGCTCAGTGGTTAGTGCGTTGGCCTGTGGACTTAGGGGTCCCGGGTTCAAATTCCAGCGGGGACGCGATTTTTTAAATTAATTTATTTATTTAAAAATTAATTCTGATGCCTAGCGAATATTTCCACTTGACCATTCACTGTTGGGTTCTAATTAACATTGCTGTTCCTAATTTGGTACGCTATTAAAGCCATTACACGAAAAAAAAAAACAAAAGAAAATATGTAATATAAAAATTTATTTAAAACAAACGAAACACAAAAACTAGTAGAAGTTAAGTATAGAATAGAATAAAAATATTAAATAGTAATATTATAATAGGAATTTATAATTAAATATTTTTCGAAATTTTCTATTAAAAATTTTTGTCTTCTGTCTGTAAAAATATGTTTTGATATAGAAAAGGTCCTTTCGACATCTACCGAAGTAATAGGACAATACCGTAATTTTGGAAGTAATGTACAGGGCGAACGTAAAACTTCTTTGGAAAATTTTCCCTCAAAAATGTTTTTCACTTCCCTTATTTCATTGAACCCTTCATTCTTTAATAAAGTTGTATTTAATTTTTTTCTAATCTTAAGGCCTATGTCACCAGGAACATTGTTACATTTATCGAAAACTGTTGCAATAAAATTTCTTGATTCGATTAAACTTAAATTTTTCTTTTCCAATGAAGTTATTACATCAGGTAAAAAACTAAAATTAACCTTTATAAACACAAGTTGCTTAGGCACAAGGGGATTTTTTAACAATTCTTTACTTTGCACTACACATTGTGAATTGTCTTCTATATCCAAAATTAAATCCTTAATTGCTTCAAAATTTTCTGCATAGAATATAGCTGCTTTAATCCATGTCCCCTATCGCGTAATTACGGGTTCCGGGGGCAAACACACCCCTACCATTCTCTCTTTATACAACTGCACTCTTAAAGGGGCTTTTAAAAATATTTTTTTCACATTCGAAATTAGCTTGTTAACCAAGGGATATTCTGTTCTCACAGTTTCTGCAACTAAGTTTATTCCATGCAGAAGACAAGTAACGTGGACCATATTTGGATAAAATATTTTTAAGTTTTGCCCTACTTTTATCATATATGGTGCTGCGTCAGACAAAAACACTAAGAACTTCTCTGAGGGAATTTGATTTGGTAAAAAAAATACTGCTAGAGATTGTTGAATAAATCGGGTAACAGTTGTATTGTTAGTTTTTTCTAACTGTTTTGATGCAATTAAATATGATGTACCTGGTTCATTTTCTTTTAAGGCTCCAATCATAAGATGTACCATATATCTTCCACAAGCATCTGTGCTTTCATCAACAATTATGTAAAAATTGCTATCATCCAGTAAAACTTTAATTTCTTCTATTACATGTACATTTTTTTTTCTGAGTGTAGATTCGTCAGAAATGGTTTGATTGCAATATTTTTGTAAAAATTCTCTTAGATATAGGTTTTGTAACTTTTTTAATGGAATATTTGCCGCAACAAGAGCTTTGCACAAGTCCTGATTAAATACCTCCTTGTCACTTTTTGTTTTGTCGGCGTTTTGAAATGACCTCACAACGCATTGTTGAACCGGTTGTGATTTCATTTTTTGCAATTTGGCTTTATGCAATGATGTTTTCACGTGTTGAACCACTTTGAACTTTTGTTCGCAAACCACTATTTTGGCACAAGCTTTACAAAAAACTTTATACCCATTGATTTCCAACTCTGGAAAGTTAATAATCCACGAAGAAATTCTCGACATTTTAGGACACTTTTAAAACAACAAATTATAACAAGACTTTTCACTAGGCAAATAACGAGGATACTATCTCATTAAACTGAATAAAAAACATTCAAAATATTCCGATGTTAGGGTAGATTGGTTACAAGAAATTACTGAGAATTTTATATAAACCGTTTTATTGCATTGTAGGTAATACTTTATCTGTGTAAATACCATCTATTAACAATTACCTTAATGGGCTTAATCTCTTAAGAAGGTAAAAACCCAGTGCATGCCACCCTCCAAGAACTAATTAACAAGAATGTACAAGAAGTGACACTTACAAACAAATACAAAAATTTAAAAGGTCTTTATTTCAAATATATCTGTATAATCTGTTAAAACAGTTTTTGATTTGCACAGTATAGTAATACATTTTTTTTTCGAAAATATTCAATATTTTCTTAAATTTTCTGAACTTTGGTAAAATATGCAATATTTTCTGAATTTTGGAAAAATATGCAATATTTTCTGAACTTTGGTAAAATATGCAAAAAATGCATATATATGCATTTTGCATATATTTCGCTCTCTAATTATAACATTCTTTAAAAGACAACTACCCACAAATCAATGTATTAGTCACTTTGCTAATAGTTTTCTTTTGCAATTTAGCCATATTTTCATGAAATAACTCAAATGTTTGTGTGTTTGATATTAAAGATTAAATATATGTGAAATTCTGGCATTGTAATTTAGAATCACCTATATATTTAAATCACGTACGTTAAAATATGCAGGTGGGGTCACACGAATATTTTGTACATGTATGGAAAATGTTCGCATTTCTAATTTCAAATAGACACCGTTATTTAATACCTTTAATATTTATTTCTTACCTCCATCGTCCATTTTTATTTTAACCCCGTGTCCTATATGTCTCTTAAATTCTTCTGTTTTCGGATCTCTCATAGGGTTTTCAAATCCTAGCAACCCTATTCTAAAACCGTCAAATCCATCATCAGAGTCATTCACAGTTAAAACAGGAGCTCTTGCATAAGCCTTTGCCACTCTCCTATTCCTTTCCAAAACAATGACTTTAGCCCATATTTCGTCGTCGATTTGAGTCCACTTATTCAAAACTTCTTGAATGTGGTCTCTGTAGAGTTTGTCCTTTTGATACCAAACATCCTCTTCTTCTTCAGGGGGTTGATAAACAGTGTCCATATGGAGGTTGTCACGCGACCTTGATAAAATTCTTCGTCGAGATACCATTCTGCAGGCACAATCTCAACAGGATTTACGAATATAGAACCTTGAAAAAGTGGGTGTCACAAATTTACGTATATTCGAAATATTTTGTTTTCCATTAAAAAATATAGGGCACTTATTATAGACACAATACTAAATTTTCACTGTTCAACGACAATACGCTCGAAATCACACACTTCTGCAGCAGCAGAGATTAGAAAGTTAGCACTTTCTAATCTTTGGAAGGCCGTCGTTGCTACAAGGCCGACCTCCTGCATGCCAACGACTTCGACATCTTGCAGTGCACTCCCTAAGAAAGTGAGCAGTAAGCCCAAGAAATATCGTCAACTGTGGTGGTACAACTGAAAGAAACTAAAATGTCTTCGGCAATGATAGTACCAGCGGTATAATCGGGTTTTATTTTCTTGTAATACTCGTTTAAATACTATTTGTTCGGTGTACGTAAATTGTATAGCGATTAGCTAATTGAGCAAGTACGTAACTAATTACCTACATTAATTATTACAATGTAAAAATTTTTTCGTTGGTTTCTGTTGACAAGAGAATTAACAAAATATTTATTTATGATAAAAAAACCATTTTTCTGCAATGTATTGCCTTCTTTAGGACTAAATACATATAATCATGTAATGCTAGGGAAATAATACGAGTACTACCTTATAAGTGTTCATTTAGTCCAGTTGTTTTTGTTTTATTTTAACAATTTTATTAACATGTTCATTTAAAAAGAGTGAAATTTTTTAATAGGGCTCCTTGATGGAATTTAATTATATTATTTTTTTATTTAAGAGGAGTATTTACTTGGCTTTATAGCAGAGCATGCAATGGTTTCGTAGTACCCCACTTATAAAGTTTATTGTAGACTTATTTTGAAAGAAAGAAAAAAACATGTGCGTGTAGATAAAGGTTAAATCTGTGCTCATCTGGAGATACTTTTTCAAAATTTAAATCAGTTTTTTTCTAAAAAAAAAAAATACAAAATTCGACTTTTTTACACATTTTCTCAATTTTTTTTTTAGAAAAAACTAAATTAAATTTTGAAAAAGTAGTTCCAGAAGGGCAGATTTAAACTTTACCTATAAGTAATTTTTATTTTCTTTTAAAAATAGTCAAAAATAAACTCTTACATTGCAAGATTTTTCATCTGGAAAGTGGCGCCTTTGTTAGATTTTTAAGAAATTAATATTTGTTAATGAAAACAATTTATAATATTACTGTACTATATTACGAGGGATAAATAAATTTTACGTATTTGTACACCTTATTGTTTTAAGTAAATTATTTCTGTAATACTAAGATCGACATATACAGGGCGTTTCAAAAAGATTGGTCATTAATTATACCACATATTCTTGGGTAAAAAATAGGTCAATTAAACCGTACTTACTTATATACAAAAGTGCACCCAAAAATAGTATAAGATAAAAATTTAAATGAATTTTTTTTAACGTTGCTCTTAAACCGTTTGGCATTTTTTTATGAAATTTTATAAGACGTGTTAGAATACCATGACTAATAATACCGAGGAAGATGCAATATTTTTTTCTTGATTTTTATAGGTTTTTAAAGGGGGTCACCGTTCTTTTCTCCACTCAACTTTTTTGTAGTATAAATATTCATTTGGAAACTTTTTTGTCTTTTAACATTCGTTTGTAAAAGGTTTAGTTTAGACCAGTGGTCGCCAACCTGTCGATCGCGAGCTACCAGTAGCTGGCGGAAGCAATTCTGGTAGCTCTCACAATGATTTTAATTTAAAAAATACAAACTGCAAAAATCAGAGAAGCTTCCGAAAATTCCACAAAAAAATCTAATTGTCATAATATTAAACATAAACAGCGGCAACGTTGCGGTGAGCGATCTGCCGCTGACGCCCTCAAGCTAGAATCGGCTAGAACCGACCAGCCGGACCAGCGCGTTAGTGTTCGAGAACGATCAGGATTGTTTTGAACGGGATAAATACGCTTAGTTTAAAACGGAACGCGTAACCAACGTCCAACGGTTGGATTAGTAGAGAACAACAAAAAATAATATTATGGCAAGCAGTTGTAAGAAGGTAAAGACATACCACTTTCATTCGGAATGGGAAGAAAAATACTTTTTTACAGAAGTTAAAGATAAAAATGTGTGTTTGTTATGTAATACTTCGGTCTCCGTTGCTACAATAGGAAATATTGAGAGACATCATAAAACTGTACATTATAATTTTGAAAAATCATTCCCACTACATTCTGCCGCCAGAAAGGAGAAACTGAAACAGTTAAAAAAGCAGATAATTGGACAACAATCAATATTTTTAAGAACAGTCGACAAAAATAAGGCTGCAACTGAAGCATCGTACCGTGTGTCCCAGATAATTTCACAAAAAAAGAAACCTTATGAAGACATGGAAATGATAAAACATGCGTTTTTAGAAGCTGCTGATTCGTTATTTGCCAACTTTAGAAATAAAGACGAGATAGTTTCAACTATAAAATATATGCAACTTTCTGCTAATACAGTGATGAGACGTGTAGAAGTAATGAGCAATGATATTTTTTTACAGTTAAGAATTGACTTAGATAACTGTGTTTATTTTTCACTTCAACTGGATGAATCAACAGATGTCGTTAACACTGCCGTGTTCGTCAGGATGGTTTATAGTGATTTTACGATTAAAGAAGATCTTTTGAAGTTTATTCCACTGAAAGGACACACTACTGGACAGGAGTTGTTTTCTCATTAAAAAAATATTATTTCTTCCGAGAAAATTCCAATATCGAAAATGGTACGCTTGACAACCGATGGCGCTCCAGCTATGGTGGGTTGTGATAAGGGTCTGGTAGCGTTATATCGTAAAGATGAAACTTTTCCGCAATTTCTCGGTTACCACCGCATTATCCATTAGCAAGCATTATGTGGAAATTTCCTGAAACTAAACAACGTTATGAAACTGGTGGTAAAAATTGTGAACAAGATTAGAGCTCAAGCGTTACAAAGAAGATTATTCAAAACCTTGGCCGATGAAGTTGACTGTCAATACGGGGACCTACTCCTTCACTCTGAAGTCCGATGGTTTAGAGGACGGGTGCTGAAACGTTTTAATGATGTCCTATATCTGGCATAGTTCAATTTTTCAAACAACGCGATGAACCGACTCCGGAACTAGAAAATAACCGGAAAAAGCCTGTAATAACAAGATAGGAAAGTCATGTGTTGGACACATCAGATTTTTTGTTGTTATTATTAACTATTTTTAAATCTTACGTGACATGCCGTTGTGGCTGGATAAAAGTTTGTGTTTATTTTTCAAACACCTTCGTTTGGTAGGTAGGAATGTAGCTATGAACAAGTACGTACTAGTAATATTAGTTATTTTGTTATTAGTTTATTATTAGTACCTATGTATTATGTATTACCAGTTAAATAGTAAAATAAATACATATAATGATAAATTAACTGTGAATTATTTCATTTACGTTGCGTTACGTGGCTTCCGTGTGGGTAGCTCGCTGTTTATTCCAAAATTAACAAAGTAGCTCAACACATTGAGAGGTTGGCGACCACTGGTTTAGACGATACAGCCATTTGAAATGCCAACTTAAAAATATTCAATGGAAAGTCTACGTATGAAAAATATCAAAATCAAGTTCATTTTTAAACTAATGTCATCAAAATAAAAAAAATTTAATTTAACAGGTGTTCAAAATTACATTCTCCTCCTGTATACACTTACTACATAGTTTTAACAATAAAAATCGAATTTTGATATTTTTACATACGTATAAATTAATTTTATCAGTTATTTATTAAAAAAATATATATCCGAAATTAAAAGGTATGCAGTAAGATGTGAATTATAAATTAACTTTTATATTACGAGTACATGGGAGCCACGATACACACATACTAACGGTATACTGACTTTTGATTCAAATTTCGTCCAAACTGCGCACTGACGTAATGTGGGACGAACTTTCAAGTTATTTTCACGATACACATGACTAGATCTAGGAATATATGCACCCAAAAAGTAGTTAAATATGCGCATATATATGCCGCAAAATACTTCAATATATGCGTAAAAAATTGAAAAATATGCAGAGCATATGCAATAAGAGTAGTTTATTTGATCGAAAAAGTATATTAATATTTAATATTTGTTTTATTTTACAATACATAATATAATACTTAATAATTATTTAATTATTAACTAATTTTATTTACAAATTAACATTATTATAAAATGAATGAACAATTAGATGTTTTTCTAAATTATCTGTATTAAATGATTGTCTCCTATCAGTAAGTATGTACTTGTACAAAGAAAAACTCCTTTCGACATCTACAGAAGTAATAGGTGCAAACTTAAATTTTCCTGAAATATCTAGATGAATAGTGTTAATATCTTCAAAGTTACCATAATAAATATTAGCAAGGTTTCTTAAAACAATAAATCCTTCATTTTTAGAAGAGCTTTAAGAAATATTTTTTTACATTACTAATTAAATCATTTATTAAAGGAAAGTTATACCTAATTTCTTCTGCAACTCTGTTTAAGCCATGAGCCAAACATGTAACATGGATTAAGTTTTCATAAAACATTTTTAAATTTTATGCGGCTTTTACCATGTACGGGGCAGCATCTGATAACAGCAATAAACATTTTTCTGTTGGAACGGATTCCGGAAGAAAAAAGGAAGACAATTATGTCTGGATAAAACGAGTTATTGTCAAGTTATTTGTTTTATCTAATTGCTTTGAAGCGATTAGATATGGACCAATTTGCATTTCTTCGCGTAATGAACCTATCATTAAATGGGCTGGCTATATATCGACCACAAGAGTCTATTGTTTCATCCACAATAATGTAGAAATGGTTTCCAACGGTAATCTCGCGAATTTTTTCACAAGTCTCAATGTACAAACTGTCAACACCACGTTTGCGTAATATACTTTGCTCTGGAATATTAAATTTACAGTATTTTTGCAAAAATGATCGGATATTTGGATTATTTAATCGTATTAAAGGGATATTCGAAGTCACTAAAGCTTTGCAAATCTTCATTAAAAATAGCTTGTTCACTTCTAGACGATCCAGATTCTAAATATTGTTTCAAGGGAAGTTGACTTTGTCTGCGAGTGTCTTCAGATTTCTGCTTTGCTATATGTGAGGGTGTTTTCGCGTGTTGGTCGATTTGAAACTTTTTTTTACATGGAATCTAAAACAAATAAATTCCTGTAGATGTTGAAGTTTTAATTAAATGAAATAAATGCGTACGTTGTAAAGTTGCCTTACTTTTTTTTTAACTGTAAGTTGAAATAATATTTTACTGTTGTTTGATTTACCATTATGAAAGGTCAAAATAAAATATAAAATAAAAAAGTACTTACAATTTTAGAACATGTTTTACAAAACACCTGGTTATCACCTTCTACAACAAAGTCTGAATAAGATTTTA